GCGGTACTTATAAGTGCCGATTATAAGTAATTAGATAAGTCTTAAGTAATCTAAAGTATTATTATTCTATTATACTATTGGTAAACATATTTCTCAAAAATGTTTTAAAGAAAATTTATATACTTTAATTATTTGATGTCTCGATATAACTTTATTTGTTTATTTATACCTTCATGCTTGAAGACATGCAATTAAATTAAAATTAACATAAACAAAATTGAAGTATTTTATATAAGCTATGAATAAAAAAAAGAAATTAGTCTCGCTAGCATCAACTTTCAAAATTCAAAAATATCAAAATTTGAAATATAGACATAAAATAAACTAAAACTATTATGTACTCGAGGTATGCATAAGTATTATACTTTTTGTGAGTTCTATAATAAGGTATTTAACATGATCACTCATTCATTTTACTCATTCAAACATTCTCCGTTATATTTTATTACTATAAAACTACTTATCGTTTCATTGCGATTACTAAATTTGTATTTATATCTAATGCGTAGGTGAATTATGTTTCCAAGATTTTTATCAATATGCAATAAAATAAAATAAAATATAATTTTATTGTTATACAAGTTGTCCACTTTTTTCAATAACTTATAATTGTATATTTAAATCCGTAATGTTTATTCATTTTGAGCTACAAATAAAATTCTAAATAATTTATGCATTTTTTCCTTTCAAATAGAAATTTTATTATTATTAATTTCTTGTAAAATTAAGGTAAATCTGCAAGTAAATTCTCTATTATAATTATTATGTAAAAAGTGTAATTAGAGATTAATTTTAATACTTTACATTTTAAAACGAAGTTGAAATATTATTTTTTAATCGTTTTTGAACTTTTAATTGATCGAAGTTGATCGATATTCAAATATAATATTCTACGTTAATATAATTCAACAGAATAATATTTATAAAATGTAACAAATAAATGCTAGAGCATATTTGACATTAGTTTCATTTAAGAAAATATTTATTATTGAATCTTTAGATAACTTCAAATGTAAATAACATCAATAGCATTTGCAATACTATATATTTATATTTATTGTAAATAATCGGATTGATTTTATAGAAAAAATTTAAAAGTTTTTTTAAAAAAAGTTTCCTTAGAAATTAAAACTATTTTCTGCTAAAATTAATCTTTGATCTTTTAGTATTTAAATGATGTTTTACAACTTTTTTTATGTTCTAATTATCAATTATCAATTAGTATAATATGTATCTTATATAAATTTAGTTCTTGCATAATTGGATAATTTAAGATACTATATTATTTCTTATAAATATTTAATTATTTAATTATTGAAATGTTATAAATCATAGTATGAACTTCATTGTATAATATATTTATGGTATATTTTAGACAATATACGATGACTGTAAATAAAAGTGTAACTTTTGAAAGCTAAAATTTTATTTATTTCAAATATGTATACATTGTTAGTTTTTCTTTTTACATGAAAAATATATAATTATAACAAATAATAATGTAAAAATGAACTAATATATATAATATACTGTAAAGTATCTTTGTTATTGCTTGTTACAATTTTAATCATATACATTTTCAATTTATGGATAAAAAATGGTTTATTATTTTTAAATACATATATTATTATATTTACTTTTTAATAAAAACTATTATTTTGAAATATTCTTAAGCAAGATAGCATGTTTTAGTTATTTTACTAATATTTAATCAAATTTTAGTAATAATATTCTTGACAGAAAAATTTACACTCTAATTTATATTAAAAAATAATCGTTGAAGTATTAAAGATGTCGATGAATCATTGTACAGATCTTCTATGTAATCAGTGTTTAAGCCGATCTAAACAATAACTTAATATAAAGAAAACAATTGATGTAATAACAATTGTTTGGCAATTTAATGGTGTACGATTTAATGATTTACATCAAATGGAAAATTGAAGGCATGAGTAATCCCAGGCCGTGGCACTATTTCTTCCAATTATTGGGAAATAATGCTGCCGCTAAGACCGTTACTTATCATAAGGATTATTCCATTGGTACGTTCTCTTTGTTGCGATGGACGGCTCGAGTGCGAAAACCCCTAATACTAGATCAGATATATCACGCTTTTTTGCTCATCCAAGCATAATTCTCAATTATCTATCGCAATATGCTGATTTCGAGATGGGTTGCCGATAATGACGGAGTGATTCATAATGTTCAATCGATGGATTTCAAACAATTAAGTTCAACGTAAATTACTGCTTCGTGTAGCAATTTAAAAAAATTTAAATATGAATTTCATAGTCCATTGAATTTTGTCGACCTGTTTGCAATAACTTTATAATGCATTAAGATTTGTTTATCATAATTTATAACAATATATATGATTTCATTGACTTTCTTAATTCAATATTTATTATTTATTTAAATCAATATATATTTTACTAAAACATATGTAAATGACTATAATGTTTATTGTTTACAGTATAATTGCACGATAATTTCGAATGGAAAATATTTTGAGATGTAAATATCTTATGATTAATACGAAAATGATAAATTTTAGCATTTCATAGATTGTTTTAAACGACCAATCAGTTTATATTATTTATATTATTAATATTATATTATAATCGAATTTATTTTTGTTATAATAATAATTATAGTTATAAATTGATTATGAATGTTAACACAAATTAAAATATTTTTTTTTTACATTATAACTCTTTTTTATGTGCATATGCGATTGATTCCAATTGTAATTAAATTATGTTAGTATCATTAAATTAAGTTATTATGTTAGCAAACTTTACAATAAAAATTCTCATTGACAAAAAGTCCACTTAAACTAAAGAAACATTTGAACGCTACAGTAACTATAGTTTACGTAATAGTATAATTAATCTGCGGGTATAGAATAGATGTAGTTTCTTGATCCTAGTTATTGATATACGTTAACATGCAAAAATTGTTTCTCCAAACTCTCGTCTAATTTCTGCATAGATTTGGTAGGTTTATTCAACGCCAATGAAAAAACTCATTAAAACGCACAATCTCGTGCCTTGCATCGACCACAGAGGATAATTCACGAAAAATGTTACATGGCATCGTGTAATCATGCGTAACAGACAATAATGCAACGCCATTCACGGAATTATTTCAGAATATTCATTAGTGAACGCCTACTGTTGGGTTTTCGTTGGCGCCAACTATCGAGTACAGTGAAAATTTCTTATATTCTAAAAACTTATATTTGAATAGGCCATTTGTATCCACTTGCACTAAGTCGGGCAATCGTGTATGTCCCGAAAGAGTAACATAAATCCTGCACCACGAACTTAACAACTTTATAATTAATGAATAATGAATTGGTGCCCGTCTTCATTTACCTTCATTTATGACTAAATCGTAATTTTATAGTGAATTAGTTGTTTTCTTTACTGGAATATAATTTAGTTTTATTTTTGTTATATCTCACAGTAACACGATTCCAGCGTTACTAGGATTTTATACAATAATTAAAGGGTGAACAAAAATAGTCTAGCCAATCTATTTGTTTAACTTTAAAATAAGTTAATCATAATAATTATCTAAGTTAATCATAATAAATAAGTCACGATTAATTAAAATATAAATTTCACGATTCAATTTAGCTATTGAAAGGTCATTATTAATATATCAATTTATAAAATATTTTTAATAAAAACTCATTTCAGATAAGATTTTGCATAAATATTGAAAATTATAAATGAAACTAGCATATATTTTGGTTTTTAAAATACATTATCATGAATAAAGTTTGAAAAATATTTAAGCCTAATGGAATAGTTTACTAGTTTCATTGTAAAGCGGACAAATTTCAGGAAGAACAGTAATTAAATTCAGATATATTACAATTCTTATTATTTATTGATTATTTATTTGCTTAAGATGAATACGAGACTTTTAACATGTTATTTTAAATATTTGTAGTAAAATATAGATTAAAAAAATTGTTAGTTTAAAATTTTATTTTACTAAATGTATTTATTATTCATTAAAGAAGCCTAAATAATTTTAATATTTTATTAAAATAATATAAATATTGTTCAAGGAATAACTTGACGATATTATAAAATTATAGGATTTGAATAAGAAGAATATTATTTATTGATCGTAAAATACTTTTAGTTGCAGAGAATTTAGTCATTTAAATTACGTTATGTGTATGAGATCTATTTACTTTCTTTTATTTATGTCTATTTTAACATCCGCTTGAGTTATGGAAAATTAAATACTGTATATTTAGATTTATTACTGCATTGTTATTCTGTAAAAATAATCTATTTTGTTGTATATTAAAATAAATATAACAGAAAGTAATTGGAATGCTTTTATATGGTTTAAATTCTAAAATGTCATTTTTTACTTAGAATCAGTAAATCAATCAACAAACGATTAGAAGGCATAAAAAAGTCGGCCAATCAAGCTAGATTGACTTAAATGGTTAGAATATAATAAAAATTATGGCCACAATTGGAACTATTTCATGTACATAATACGTACTTGAACTTCGAACCTTTCTATCATTTAACGGGTTGGAAAATCCTTGAATTCTTATCTGTTGTAGCACTATCCTTACTAGTGCTTAATCTTTAATTATATTCATCGTCTTGTCTTTTTTCTTTTTTTTTTTTTTTTGTTATTACCTTAAGTCCAAGTGTATTTATATCATTAATCAATAACAATCTTGTTGTAGACGCGTGACACATATATGTACTTGGGTACCACCTTCTATTATCGTTCATATTTTTAATAGAGATTTGTTTATGCAATATCGGATATTTTTATTTTAGATAATTGAATCGAGGAATTAAAAATATCTAATTAATAATTTAAGATTTTCTTCTGAGTGCAATTGTCACTGGGTTAAAAATACTTTAACATATTTTCAAAGAGCGCATTTTTTCCAAACATTCTAAATCGTTTCTTTTAAATAAATAATGTAAATAGTTTATTGCAAAATAAAAAGATAACATACAATTAATTGATAAAACAAGAGATATTGAAATAAAAATGTTTTAAAAACTTATACTGATACCTATAATTCATTAAGTTAATTTAACGTACTAATTTGCTGTTACGTTATTTTTATTCTGTTTTTATACATTTTACTTTTAATATTTGTTGGTAAAGAATGAGCTATCAGTACTAAAATAAGTTTATTTTTAAAATAAATTTTAATATTGTCTTTATATGTACACCTTTCATGGAATTCTTATTTAAATATCAAGAAAATATGAGTAAGCTCTAAGAATTTTTATTCAACTTTGATTTATATAAATAGAACCTGCAATGGTGTAATTGAATGAACGTTCTTTTGTATGTAAATAAATATTCTTAAGTAATTTTATTTCATTGTAATAAATTAATATTTTTTTCAACTCTTAATAAAACAATCCAGATAATTGTAAGCATTTAACAAAATCTGAATATTTTATGATAGCAAATATGATCGTAAACAATGACGGAATATTGGGATATATATATGCATACATAGGGTTCAATGAATTGAAATTATTATGGATTTGAGGAAATAATCACATTTTATTATCAGGACTCGTAGTTATAATAAAAGTTACACACTTTTGCACAATAAACAAAAAATAAAATAAAATAAAATAAAATAAATAAACAACTTATCGCAATCACGAGAAGCAACTAATGCTAAAAGCGATGACAGAGGTAGGCGCTCCTCTTATCAATCTTTCTCTATTTATTTTATAAAAATCAGCACATAAGAAACAATAAGAGTATTGTAGAGTGCAGACGCGAATGAGAGTTAGTTTTAATAAATCTTCCGGATAATCCAGAGGCGTCGAGTTGACGTACAGGCACCTAACGACGATCGCGCACGAAGCAGATGAAAATATGAATGTAGAAAGTGTCGCTGCGGTATTTGCGAAGGTGTCGTGCGTGAAAATTCCGCAGTGTTTAGAGGCGTTATTTATTCGTACGTCTATACGCAAAGAATAGAGTAACTAAGCGCGTGGGAGATTTCTTTCAGAGAAAGAGAGAAGGAAAAGCATTGGGCGTTGCCCATTTAATGGACATTTTTCCTGGCCTCGCTAGAGTTCGAATGTAGCTCGAAATATCTTGCTAAAGATTTACGATTTGCTTTGTGTGTGGCAGTCGCCGCCCCATAACTTTGAAATCCAAAAGATACTTGAAGTAAGATCTATAGCGACTTTGGTATTGGATCCTGGTATGTCACACCGGTCGATTGGATTAATAGTCAAGTATGTATGGACAGGATACCAATTTCCGGAATGTGTGCCGTTGTTATTTCTTTGGAAGAACGGAAAATTGCAAATCGTTTTGGCTCTTTTTCTCTTATGGGGACAAATGATTTTAAATTTGCTCATCAAGAATAAAATTTTCTTATTTTCGCGTTTGCATGTTCAGTTGTGAACGAGGTAAGCGAAGAAAAAGCGAAGCTAGAAATATTTTTTGATAATGTTTCCAAAATCATTTGCATGTAGAGGTAGATAAATTGTAAATAATATCGCGAGCTATTGTAATGCATATTATGATTTTGGATTACATAAGTATAGAAATTAAAATTGAGATAAAGTTTGATGCCGGAGAATGAGAGTTTTAAATATCTGTGAGTGAAAGTTTGATACATTATCTTCTTTTATGCGCCGTACGAAAATACAGCAATACTAATCCTTAAAACAAAATCTACGTCATTAAACCGACATTAATCCGCAACTATTTTATTGTACGTATGACGAATCCCACCCTCAAAATAATCATTTTTTCGATTGATCATTCTTGTCCAAATTTAAGTTTATCAAGTATATACATGTAATTTTTTTTACTGCTATCGTACTGTTGTAAGCTTCAATAATATCTAATATCGCGATGACTTTTACGCATCAAGATATAGGCTTAATACTAACTAGACATTAAATAGCGTAGGTACCGCCGCTTCAAACTGACTCTACTCTTACATATTTCCTACGAAAAATTTATCGACGTATGTTGCCCATGAATGATGGATCTTTTCAATGTTTTACTCAGAGACTTTAAATTAAAGAGGCGCGCCGTTCATGTCTATATATTAGTTCGTACTCGGGTCGCGATATTGCTGTCATGGCAGCGTTGCTCAGTAGTAATCATTGGCTGGATTGTAGGAGCCGTCGTTATAACTTGGCACCCCCCATGGATTTGCCGCTGGAACTGCCGGAGCTGGACCAGCTTTCTGGACTTCTGCGTTGTACAGGGAGAAGTGAACGGCCTTGGCCTGTTGCACTTCGGGGGTGTCGACTACTCGGCCGTCAGCGCCCAAAGGAGCTGGTGGTCCACTATTGGGCGGAGTAATATTATTTATCATTTCCACTCAAATGAAACACGTATTCATCAGGTAGTCGTTAAATTAGCTTTACGAGTCATCGGAATATATTTTAATATAATGCATTTAAAAATAGCGTATGCAATGTTTGATAATATGATTTTATCGATACAGTTTAATAAATACTCAGTAATATAAGGATGCGAGATAAGAGAAAGTTAATTTATAACCGTTACTTATTATAAAGAGTCGATTAAATAATGAAAAAATTATTATGCCGTTAGTAATAAAAGTAAACACGCCACCGTCAACGTATAAATAAAAAACAGTATACGACAAAATTAAAATAATTTAAAAATAATACACTTAAGTATATGTACTTTGGTAAATGATTAAAAATTTCATCGGCTTTTAATACATACAAGACAAGACACTTGATACAAAGAAAAAATACAATAAGATAAATGAATAAATAAGATAAAAAAAACAAACGATCACGTAACATACATATAAATACCTTCCTTATTAATCAAATAAAATTGAGATAAATGGAATTGCGTATTTACTTTGATCGTTGCATCGAGATAATAATTTACAGTCGTTATTCTATTACAAATAAAAATATATAAAATACACGAAAACTTTAATAGTATATAAACTCCTACTACCTTTAAAATCTACTAATATGCTAATATATCTTATTAAATGATTAATAGACTGGAAGTTAAAAGTAAAGTTTGAACGTAATCGTGATACGATGGTTGAGGGTCTTTATAAGCCATTACTTAAGTGTCTTAAACGAGCGAGCATCAAAGGAACTCCGTCGCTCGCGCTAAGTATAAATAACAATATTTACCTGTATCGTGGTGCGTATCCACCATGTCCATACGGTAAACCGGAGGCTGGTCCGTCGTAAGGTCCAGCGTGTCCCTTTGGTGCCCGGGCAGCGGCTTCAGCCAGTGCCGCCAGATGGGCCGATTTCGCCTGAGCGACCTCAGGTGTGTCAATTACACGGCCATCCGGGCCGAGTGGAGCAGCAGCCCCATGGAGAGCGTAGGGTGCAGGACCACCGTACCATTGTGGTACTCCAAGAACCGTCGACACCAAGGATAGTAAAATCTGAAAGGAGAGCGTGAGAGAAGAACCTTTTTGGTTACTTCGTGCACTGACATTTTTGGTTTTTAATTCTTAAGCTGTTTATCAGCATAAAAAGTCTAAGCGCACAAATATTTCGACAAATGTTGGAACATTTGTATGAAGGAAGAATAAGGTAAATCTGATAATAATTAATATGTAAAATAGTCAGTAATAACAAGTGATAACGATAACAAATAAATGTATTTCAACGTTTAAAGTGTTTGAATAGAGACAGAGACAGAAAGAGAGAGAGAGAGAGAGAGAGAGAGAGAGAGATCACATTGGCCACAAATTATTATTTCTCAATATTTTATGAACATAAAGTAATAAAAATTCCAATAGCAATAGGCCGACAATAAATAAAAAATTGTATAATAATAATCCCTTACGCCCTTCGTCACAGAGCAATAGGAGGTAATGGAAAGGGGAAACGATATCGTGTCAGTACTCACAACGGGGATCATGTTGTCTCTGAGTTGGCGCTCTCTGTACTCCTAGACGCAAGTTCCCGGGTGCACATACACTCCGTCTTTCTGGATCCGTCAATTTATAGTGCGAGTTCGGGTATCACCGGGGGGATATCTCAAAGCCTGGCGGCACCCCACCCCATCATCCCAACTCGAACCTATGCCGGGGCCGCATGCCAAGACACGACACCACACCCAGATGGAATAATGCTCTCCTTCGAGGCGCAATGCGCGCGTGTGTGCGTCTGCCCCTTCCTCCAACCCTCGCCCCTCTCCCGACTGTCACGGCCGCCGCCCGCGGTCGTTCGTGTACGGGCAAGTCTTGCACGATGGTTGCAAGGTAAGGATGGATGGATGCCGTGTGCTCGTGAGTGCGTTACCTTGCGCAAATATCGCTATTCGGCGAACATGCGGCCATTGTTTCACGCCCTCGGCTCGATGACGCGAGGCTATTAACATTGACATTTAGACAGAGCGAGAAGCCATTAGTCGATGATGACGATTTTTTGGCTTCTGCATTTCGCGAATTCCAAGCTCGTTAATCACGCTACTTGCTGATTTCAATCGCTTTACTCCCGTCTAACATATCCAGGCAATTGAAGCGTTCCATAATATATTTACAATTCGATAATCATTCATCATCGATTCCGGGCGTGCGTGCAATTCTGTTCTATCACTCCAACGAAGATGGTAGACGGTTGTGAATTGTACACTGTTAGGTTGATTCCATGGTTAACCATTAAGTTTTATCATTTCTAATCGATTACTATTACTTTTAAGCCTCTATTGTTCATTTTAATGTAAGCAAGAACATGTTAAAAAGTTTTTATCATTAATTCAAGCTATTTGTACGATTTAAGTGGTGATTAAGAAGCTTTCATCGATTTAATTTAAATAATGATGCTTTCTTATAATATTAGAGATTTAAAATTTTTAATATATAAAAATACTTGTTACATAAATCACCTCATATAATAATTAATAATTATCCAATAGCAATATTATAACTATAACCTAAACTTTTACACTAAAACATCACTACCATTATTTTTTATGTCTGTGCCTAAATCATTCTCTAATCATTCACTTTCCGTCCATAAAAGTTCCTTAATTATATTTTACTGAAAATAGAACACAAATTATACATATTCATAAATAATCATTAATAAGAAGAAATTCATTTAATACTTTATAGTTTATTAAACAGATAAGATAGTTCTGTTTAAAAGATAAAAATTCAAAACGTAGTCAAATTCGATTATAACTGCAAATTTATATTAAAATTATTTGAAAAGGTTCATTTTATTAGAATAAATATTTTTAATACAAATTAAGTAGTAATGATTTTTGTTGTTGTCTAAAATTATTATTAAATAAAATTATTATTAAATTTATTAAAATAAAAATATTTTTATGATGGATTCAAATTATTATTTTTTACACAAAATAAATAAATTTTTTAATAAGTATTAATGTTAAAAATTACTCATATTTTATTCAAGAAAATTGAAATAATATCCCATGGAATAAAACAGTATAATATTCTTCACAATTCAATATACAAATATGTATCAATTATATAAATATTTTGCAATTATAAATAATGAGAATTTATTTTAGCGTATTATTTATTAATTTTTTTATTCAAATAAAAGAATATTGTAAATTGAAAAATTGTTAATGTAATGTAATATTTAATGAAATACTTGTCGCATTTTATTTAATAGTCAAAAAAAATTATTTCAGTGTACGTCATGGATAAATATATATATTTATTATATTATATTAATTATAATTTGTGGTTCAATTTTTCTCTGATTTACGAGCCAATATAAACTTATGCATAAAATGTATGTATTTGAATAATATATCAACAAGAATTATCATACATTTTAACAATGAATAGTAGCTATTGAATAGTTTTTAAATATTTAATATAATTAAATTACCGTATTATTACGTTACTGGTCATTACTATTTAACGAAATTATATTCCATTCGTGCTAAAGAAAATTTGATTTTTGTTTTTTAATGCTACAATTATTTCTTGATTGAAGCAAAGCTTGGACATATAATTGATTTGAAAATCTTTATTTAATTAGAAATAAATGGTTTTACAGATTATGCAATTAGATAAATACAAAAATAAATTAATAAACGTGTAAATTTTGCTGTATTTACTGCTATGATACTTACTATTACAATTTTTAATAGTAATATAAGTATTTGGATCTTCTTATATAGCTTTCACATTTTTCACTTCTCATCTTACTTCATTAAAATCATACGTCGTTTTCATATATATTTGATAGATAAATAAAGAAAACCACTGTTGGAAAAGAATTACAAATTCTTATATGCAGAAAACATGTTATATTTTTAAATTATGTTTATAATTACCGAGAACACTAAAGCATAATTTTTTCTGTTACGTATATTTAAATATCAGAGGGAACTAATAAAATATATCATATATTTTGTAATCTGTATATGTGTAGAATTTATATATATATATATATATATATATATAATATAATATAATAGTAAAATAAAATAAATTTTATATACAAAATATTGCATTATCTGCAGTGGATTTTCAAGTAGTAAACACGTATAAGTGGATTAGCATTATAGATTATGATATTTATTTTTATTGTAATCCAACTAATATTTCATTGTTTTTCTCTGATATTTAAAAATATATAAATATAACACATGTACTTTCATTTTCGATGCAATTATGAGCATAGTTTAAAAATATAATATGTTTTATTTTAATATCTACCACGTATAGATTCAAAAATCTTTATTTTTAAAGACCTATTATACTAATATAGTAAAACGGGCAATAAAAACTATGAAAACTGTGTAAAAAGAAGCTCCAGATTCCTATAAATATAATAATAGAAAGTATCTTAGCAGTAAAGAGAGCGTGAAGACTACTTTCGTATATGTTTAAATGTGAAGTAGTTCCGATACGTAACATGTTCGACAACGTTGCTGATAAATGTTGATCAGTTTCACTATGAATAGCAGGTTTTAAATAAAACTCAATAAATACTATATGTTTTTATAAATTAATCCTCTATTTGTTGACGATTATTATGTATCAATGCTTAGATTTCTATGTATTTCAGTACTTAAATGATACATTCTAATTACATTCATTAGGTATAATATTTTATCTTATGTAAGACGTTACGCGATATCATTGGTTAAATGTAACTTTTCTTTTATTTAAAAAAATTTTCGTAAAATCGCCGATGAATCAATACTTATTATTTTCTTTTAAATTTTTAGTCTTAGTATTTATTTAGTTTTAGCATTTGCATAATATTAAATTAAATAAAAAGTATTTTATACTACATATAATGGAAAATATTTATAAAAAATAATAAATACTATTATGAATATTGACTATTGAAAAAATTATTATTTGTGTAATATTAATTTACTAATTTATTATTATATTTATTAATTTTAGAATTTTAGCATTAATACAATTAAAATATGTAAAATATTAAAGAATTAGTACTATGCAAATAATATGTTTTTATTTAAACTCTTTCATAAAATAACATTGCTAATATTTTATATATTCATCATTTTCTTAGTTTTTATGGAAAAATTTAACCAAATCTTTTTATATTTTACTTATGCATTTTGATTTAAATCTATTTATTGGATATTATTTTAAGGTAATTATTTAAACAAATTTATTTCTGAATAAAATATACATACGTAGTATAAATAATTAAATGGCATTCTGCATAATATAAAACTCGCGTCTTTTCATAGATAGGAATCCAAATACAATGAATATCCATATGCATATTCTATCGTTATAGTACATGAATCATAGTATAATTATATTAAGTAACTTTTAATTAATTTGTCATTCATCTATAAAAAGAGTTTTCTGTCTTAATAAAATTCTCGTACTAAATTTAAGAATTTATGCTACATGCAGTATTTTCTATTTACATATTTATAATAATAATAATAAATTTTTATAATTATTAAATGACAAGAAAAAACATGATTAATAACATTTTATTTGTTCAATCAAAAAATTATGTACAGTCAAGTAATATAATTGCCGTGTTTAATAATATACGAAATCTTCCAATATATGAACTTTTATTAAATCTTTGATTGAATAATTTTACAATTTTTTATTATTTTCTATTAATATAAACTTTTTAATAATTATTTTTAAAAATGACAATAATGATAATTATCTCAAATAATAATTGAGCAAAAATGATAGACTATAATTTTAGAGTGATGATTTATTCATCTTACGCCCACGGTAGAATGTGGTATTCGTTCAAAGGAAACTATGAATTGGCTCTGGTGTAATGTACAGCATTGTAAATGTATTTTTAGAATATATCAAATAGATTCATTTTTCATGATATTTGTATTTAACATTATTATTAAACGTCTCTTTCAATTTTTCAAAGCACTGATATTTTACAATAGTCATCTTATTTACTTATGTGATGAAAAATTGTAATATTAAACTATATTTTTAATAACTACATGTTTGTACATAAATGTAACAAATGTTATTTCGTTGATTATTCTTACGCATAAAGATGCAATATTTTAAATATATTATTAAATATTATTATCCAATAATTTCATGTAATATTTCTAATATTGTAAGATATTTTATTACAAATTAAAAATTTATTATTAATTTTAATTTCATTATAATTTTATTATTTATTTTCATTCAATTGCAAGTGTTTAAACGTCTCATTAATCATTTTATTATTAAGAACATATATTTTTATATTTATTCATATCGTTTATGGAATAACAGAAAATACGATATTTGAAATATAGTCAATTTATCAGAATTTTTATTTACACTAATATTCAAATAGTTTTCAATCTTAAAATTATTAAAACTCGATTAGACTAAATATTAATAAATATTATTAATATTATAAACAAATATTATATATCATTAATAATATTATACATCA